CGACATGATGGTGAAGGCCCAGAGAGAGCAGGGTGTCGTTGTACTGGGAGTTCCACCTGTTGGTGACAACTTACATGCAACATCCCAGAATCCCACTCCCCAAAATTCAGTGCATTCTTTTCTGAGGCAAGAGCTTAGGGTCCTTAGCTGATTCCTTCATCATAACTCCTATCTCTTCTTGGTCAAGTTTCCCAGTGAGTGAGGCCTACCCTCACCTCTTTAGATCATCATTTCATCTTCAATAGACTGTTTCTATCAAAGTAATCTTTTCCCAGTTTCCCCTCTGCTCTCATGCCTTAGGGTTTTGTTTGTTTGTTTTCCTACCTCTCTCCATATGAGTCCTCTTCTTGTCTTTAGGTTAATACGGCAGCATTAGGGTACAGGTCATGTCCTGCTTGCTGGTCAATTCGGCGGCATCAGAACTGGCTCCCTCCCAAGAAGTGAAAGTCATTGACAGTGTCCTGATGGCCCTGCCAATGCACCACCCGTGATACTGTGGACAGGCTTCTTAGCAGGCTGGTGGCGTTGAGCGTGGCATTCAGGTACCCCTCCTTCTGGCATATGGTTCTGGGATCTCTACCAAGTGTGGAGGTGGTGAGCTGAGGGAAACCAGAACTGTGCTTCTTGCTTTGGCACATGTTCACAAATGGAGAATCCCCAGTGCTGGCAGTTCCACAGCTTCTCTCCGTATTCATCTTGTGTTCTCCAGTCCTCCCTTTCCACCGCAATCAGCTCAGTGGCCGAGCAGTTCTGTACATCGACTGTGGGACCTGAGGCTGCTCTTTCTCATTCTCCTTTTGGTAGGACGCTCCTGCCCTGCATCAAGATTCCTCTTCCTTCTCTTGCAGCAGCTTCCTGCTTCTGGGGTCCCACGAGCCATGGTGGAGTTCAGGTGGGGCAGTGACGGCATATACATAGCATATACTCTGCCACCTGGGCAGGTATAACCAATGCGCACTGTGTACTTTCTAGAGAACATGGATACAGCTTCAAAAATCCATGACACTCCAGACAGCCAGAACCAGTTGGTCAGAATTGATCTTATTTGTCTGATAACAAAACTTATTTATGAACTGACTCCTGTCTTTCTACTCTGGGCTCCTTTATCATTAGGCAAAAACAGCCACTTAGGAAGCATCATTCATAAATAATTGTGAGAGTCCAATTCCCATGCCCTCAGATTGTGGATGCTAACAGGAGCTGACTTCTTTAGGCGAAATGAAGACAGATCTCTTTGGCTTTCTTTTCCCTTCTCGTGTTCTTGGACAAGCATTATAGTCAGCCCCCGTTGGTCCCCCTGCAGAGGTCAGATAAGAGTCCATCCTTGTCTTCATCTAACCCACCTTCTAACAAGAGATAACACAGATATTTAAATTCCAAGGAGAAGTGCTCTTTGTGTGTTTCTAACAGAAACCAGATGCTAACACCTAAGGAGAATCTATAAAAAGGGAAGTAGGAGATGGAACCAGCTATCTGAATATTTCATGCCAGAAGAGTTGCTGTTAGCAACTGTTTAGCACCTTCAGGGCTTTGACGTGGGCTCTGGACAGCAGGTCTTCCCGCCCACATGCAGCCGGGCGCCTTACAGAAGCGTAGCATTCCAGGTGTAGCTCAGCCAGGCCTCGCCTGCCGATTTGGAAGGCAGTCCCGTGCCCCCTTTGGAGGTATGTATACCTCTCTAAGCACTAGAGAAGTAGAAATGAAGGGAGTTTTGCCTTGTCCCCAGTGGTTGGTCCCTCTGGGACCTGGCAGATAGAAACACTTGATTGTCCGACCACTTGGAAGCAGTCACCGTGGTCAGGATCAAGAAAGGATTTGATTCTTTTTCCATTTTCTCATAAGAGTAGCCCAGTCAACACAAGACTCATAAAACATGACTCACTGTTGGGAGCTATACTGTTTTATAGGCTGACTTCCTTCACAAAACTAGCTTTCCTCCAGGGGAATACAAAGGAGGGAGAAGCTCCCATAGTGTCGGGAAAACATTTCTGTGATTCTGATATGATGAACCCATAAGAAAGGGAAAAAAAAATTGCCTATCCTGAGAGTTTTCTGAGACATCCCTTCACCCTCCTGGGTATTTGGCCATTGATGTTCAATAGGTCACTGACCGAGCTTTAATACGTCTTTCGGACAGAGTTACTCACCAGTAAGGTCTGTTCCTGATGATTTCCATATTTTCCCATAAAGCATTTTGGTTCTATTTCTGGACCCTGACTTAAACACTCTGTGGCCTACAAGTCCTCCATTTTCCTTAGCAAATTAGGACTTGGGCATCTTCCCTCTCCTAAAACATTCTTTCCCGGACAGGATCGCTTTGCCCATCTCCTGCTTTAATTCCAAGTATAGACGAAGCCCCGGGGGCCCGAGGAGGCGAGGCAGGCCCGTGTGCTGGGCATGAGCACCGCGCTGTTGTAGGAAGGCCTACAGCGGGCCTTTGGTGCAGGCTCTGCCAGAGACTGTGGTGAACACTTTGCTTGAGATCCTGTACAATGGATATGCTGTTTTACTGATGTCTGTAATACATTTGTAAACTTCCAATAAAATTTGAATAAAAGAAATGTTGTCATTTCTCCCTCGCTTTCCAGATTTTTGAAACCCTTTGCCTTTGAGCATCTCAACAGAAAAGGGAGAAACAGCAGGTGTCCGGGTGAGATTCGCTGTGAAAGATGAGCCTGACTGTGGGCACCAGAATGTGTCCTCTTCAGCCTTTTCGACGTTGGGGCCAGTTCTCTGTGGCAGAGGACTGTCCGGTGCTTTGTGGGATGTTCAGTAACGTCTCTGATCTCCACCCGCAGATGCCAGTAGCTCCCCTCCCCCCTGAGTTGTGAGAACCAAAGTCGTGAGAACCATACATCACACCAATTAGGATGATGACTAGTTAAAAAAACAACAGCTAGAAAATAACAAGTGTGGGCGAGGATGTGAACAAAACGGGAACCCTTGCACACTTTGGGTGGGAATATAAAGTGGCACAGCCTCTATAGAAAACACGGCGTTCCTCAACATCTTTAAATAGAATTACCATATGATCCAGCAATGCTACCTCTGGATATATATCCAAATAATTGAAAGCACAGCCTCAAAAAGATATTTGTACACCCATGTTCATATCAGCGTTATTCACAATTAGCTAAAAAGATGGAAGCAAACTTAATAGCCATCAGTGGAGGGATGGATAAATAAAATGTGATATATACATACAATGGATGAACCTTGAGGACCTGAAGATACATGAATTAAGCCAGTCACAAAGAGACAAATACTGTATAATTTCATTTATATGAGGCACCTAGAATAGCCAAATTCATAGGAGAGGTTGAATGGTGGTTGTCCAGGGCTGGGGGGAGAGCCGAATGGGGAATTGTGTAATGGGTATAGAATTTTTTTTCAAGATAAAAATTATGAAAATTGAGTGCACAACAATGTGAATGTACTTAACACTATTGAACTGTACATTAAAATGATAAAATTTTATGTTGTCTTAATTTTTAAATATGTTTTTGATTTCAGCGAGAGGAATGGAGAGGGAGAGCTAGAAACATCAATGAGGTAGCACCTCACACCTGCCAGAATGGCTACCATCAATAAACCAACAGACTACATGTGCTGGTGAGGATGTGGAGAAAAGGGAGCCCTCGTGCACTGCTGGTGGGAATGCAGACTGACACAGCCATTGTGGAAAACAGTATGGAGTTTCCTCAAAAAATTAAAAAATGGAACTGCCATTTGACCCAGTTATCCCACTTCTAGGAATATATTCTAAGAAACCTGAAACACCAATCAGAAAGTTTATATGCAACCCTAGTAGCATTATTTGCAATAGCTAAGATGAGCAAACAGCCCAAGTGCCCATCAGTAGATGAGTGGATTAAAAAACACATTTACATAGTGGAATACTATGCAACTGTAAAAAAGAAGGATCTCTTACCCTTTGAGTCAGCATGGAGGGACCTGGAGAGTATTATGCTAAGTGAAATAAGCCAGTCAGAGAAAGACAAGTATCACATGATCTCACTCATATGTGGAATCTAATGAGCACAATAAACTGACAACCAGAATAGATCCAGAGGCATGGAAGCATGGAGCAGACTGAATCTCAGAGGGAAGCAGGGAAGCAGGGGGCGGGAAGAGATCAACCAAAAAACTTACATGCATATATGCATAACCCATGGACACAGACAACAGTGGTGAAGGCCTGTGGAGGAGGGAGGGGGGAGTCAGGAGCAGGGCGAGGGGGTCAATGGGAGGATAAAAGGAACATTTCTAATACTTTCAACAATAAAGATAAATTTTTTAAAAATAGAGTTGTTTACATTCTACCTAGAGCAAGCATCTCAAAGGAAAGTTTCCACTACCCCCCAAAACCTATGACTCCAATTGGCCTCGTCTGAGTCAAGTAGTATATTCAAAGAAACACCATTAGGGAACCAAAAATGCTATAAATCTATATGTACTAAGTATTTCAAATCTGTACTGTCTCCAAGGAAATGCTAAAGGAGGAGATTATTTTTTTTTTTTAGGGAGTATAGAGAAACATCAGTGTGAGAGAAACATTGATTGGTTGTCTCCAATA